GGTTGTTTTGCCTTACATGCTGCCAGGTGCAGATCTGGGGAGTGCGGACCTTCCAGGCCTGGAGGTGGTTCTCTTGCAGCAAGCAGTGGGGTGTGGCGCTAGGTGATGGGTCGTGAGCGAGCCAGCGGGGAGAGGGTTGTTTTGCCTTACTGTTAGCTTGCGTCAACAACACTTAAAGCACTGCATCTGTGCCATTTTGGGTCAAGGTCCTGAAATTTTTGGAGGTTAGGTAGTGGTCAGGAATCATGTCGTGGGATTCCTCCGTTCTTCACATCCAGTCCATGCTGCGCAGCTTGGTCAGAGACGATCCCGATGCAGTCATTCAGGCTGCTTCAGGTCTGGAGACAGGTGAACTACAGAGAATGGATCACCTGATGGACCTCGCTGTCAGGTGGAAGGAACAGCCGGACGCCAGTGGACTGGTAGACTGTGGCCTAGACCCTCTGCAGCCAGCGGTTGCTCAGGACCTCCAGGTTGACGCAGGGCTCTGGACAAGAGCAGCACGGCACCACCGGTGAAGGAGCCTCCACCTCGTCCTCCAGCAGCGGCAGCTTCGCACTCAGGTGTTCCACAGGCGCCCGCAGGGGCCCCGCCAGCTAAAAGCCCGACAGTACGGCCACCGCCATCAGGAGACTCCCAGGGAAACTTGGCTATGGTGGTGTCTTCGGCTTCGGCAGCTTCATCTGGTCAGGTGGCCTCGGCTTTACAGGCGTGGCAGGATCCTTGGAGTGGATGGCATCCGGGGTTGTTAGGCAGGAGTGAAGCCTCTGGAAACCCTGCCCCACCCCTTAGTCAGGAAGGACAGAGACGTGCCACTCAGCGCACAGGGCCTTCAGCCTGGTACTGCAGGATACGACTACGGCAATGCCACAGATCCAGACGACCCAGGCGTCCAGATCCTGACATCAGGGACCTCATGCCCAGTGCCTTAGAAAGACTCCAGCCTGAGGCGTGGAACTACATAGGATGGTTCCAAGGATGTCCTTACGCCCTCCTTCAAAAGGTTGGGCACTCAGGTAGTTTGCCACCAGTCCATGGAATGGCTGACATGCCTAGGCTTCGGGAGAAGAGGGCCCGGACACTTGCAAAGGAACATCGAGTGCAGCGCAGGATGCTGCTTTGCGTGTTCGCGGCCAGTGTCCACGGACGGACGTGGCACACACTCAAAACATGAGTGCACAGAGTGCCATCAGGACGATTAGGTGCACAGGCGCTCAGTCAGTCAGAGTCCAGGCTTTCAGTTCTTTTTCAGGCACTAGCAGGCCAGGGGCTCAGTCTTTCCAGCTTGCATACACCATAGTTGCACTCAGGGTCTCTGGCATGCAAGCTTGCCTCATGGGCCCTCCTTGTGCCGTGAGCGCCTTGGATGCCCGTACAGGATAGCCTTCTGACAGGATACGGCAGCGCCCTCCAGCTAAAACCGCCCTAGTGCAGCATGCTATCATTTGATTCAGTGACTGCGGCATCGCAATGAACCCACCAGACTGTTAGGCGATTGGCTCAGACCGGGTGGGGACTCAGGGCCCTCTCCACTTGCGCCTTGCCCTCAGTGTTGCAGTGTTCAGTTAGGGCAGCCTTTGCTGTTTTGGCTTGAGGCCCGCCCCTTGGGATTGCTCATTGCATCTGGAGGCTGGCGGAGCCAATAGCTTGAGCCAGGCTTGTGCTTGGCAATGTCAGGTCAGTTGAGCCCAAGTCCGGTGACAGGCGGCCCCAGTTGCAAGCGGGCAAATCATGTTGTAGACCATGCCTTGAGCCTTGGGCATTTGCTCATCTTGGGCTTTCCCGAGGGAGGCTGGAGCCTCCCCAGTGGCAGTGGTCAATTAAGCTCCTCCTGATGGCTTGTGCCGTGTCAGGTCAAGCCGGCGTGCTCAGCCTGTAGTGCAGCAGGACAGCTGCCTCTTAGCTCATCTGGTGATGTGGCCATGCCTGCCTTGACAGGACTGGGAGTCCAGCGGGCAGCCAGGTCAGCCAGTGCAACGTCAGTGAACGGCAGGAAGGACAGCAAGCAGCAATGCCCGTCCAGACGTGTGTTTCACACCAGCTGCTGCAGGAGCCGTGTCCGGCATCTCTGACTCGTCTGTGACTTTTGCTGAGCGCTGCAAGCGCTATGGCTTGGCCCAATCCAACATAGACGACCTAGTTCAGAGAGGCGCTTCCACCTATGGGCAGTTGCTCTTTAGGGTTGCTTCAGGGCCAAGTCAGGTAGATGACAGCAAGCTGAATGACCTCATCCGTGGTTGCAACCCCAACCTAAATGAATCAGGCAAGAGTGCCCTTAAAAGGCTAGTGTTCGAAGCCGGGACTTTTGTAGTTGCAGAGTTGAAGGATGCAATCAGCTCGCCTGGCGTGGAGGGAGTCAAACGCCTGACGCATCAGGAAAGAGACTCCAGGTTCAATGCAGTCCAGGCCAAGCTAGGGAGTTTCCTTCTTTCAGGGCCGTATGAACCAGCTCATGCTTTGGTCGACTCCTGTTCGAGCATGGCCTCCGCCCAGTGCGTCGCGTACATTCCCCCTAGTAGGTGTGCCTCCCGGGAACAAGAGATAGCGTCAGGGAGGAAGGAGGAACACCTCTTGCGCCTTGAGCATGCGCCGCTCAAGCTGGCCAGCAAAGCACAACCCATCAAAGTTGACATGAGTTCAGAGCTCAGGGTGTCGCAGGCTTTGACCAGGCGCGGCGTGGCTCTCGAGATGGCTGGCGTGTGTGCTTTCCAGGAACATGAGGCGTACTCCAGGAGCCTTCTAGCACACGTTCACAGGCAGCCCCCTCGGGCTACCAAGCCCCAACGCTTGATCAACTCTTTAGGGCGGATCGTGAGGTCTGGGTGCGTGTCAGTGAAATGGTTCGCCATCAGTTCGCAGGGACACTAGGTACGGCCCCAGTTGATGACGCCATCAAAGCTGTCAAGGACTCAGCTCAGGCGCTCTTCCATTTGCATCCCATGCCTCTGCCTCCCAAGCCTGACAGAGCAGCAACGCTTAAGCGTCCGTGGTCCGCCACTCAGGAGGGAAAGGGAAAAGGCAGGCCAGACAAAGGCAAAGGCAAAGGCAAAGGTAAGAACAAAGGCAAAGGCAAGGGTGCCACAAAGGTTCAGACCAATGTTCCAGCAGCACTCAAGGGTATGGACCCCAACATGAATGGGGAACCGATATGTTTCGACTATAGTCTCCCTCACGGGTGCCAGTTGGAGACATGGGACACACCGCTTGGCCCGGCACGTCGTAAGGGACTCCATGTCTGTATGAAATGTCATGGAGCGCATTCAGCCAGTGGTTGTGACAAATAGGGTTGTGGGCGGAGTGACTCGGAGGGACCGGACCCCATGCACTCAGGCACTCAGACGCCCCCAGTCCCTGTTCAGGTACACCCAGCAGCTTGTGATGAGGCAATGCCCCAACATCAGGTTGCCTTTCACGATTCTCAGGCCAGCGCCTCACTCAGCATAGCTTCTTCGCCAGCCCGGGGCCATATCATTTTTCCGCACTTAACATTGGGCAACGCCCCTAATTTTCGCGTGTCAGACCCTCAGGCTGAGGGCAGTGCAGTGGATACCCACAGTGCCCAGATCAGTTGGGATACAAGTTTGCAGTCAGCTCTCGTGCAGGACGCAGGTGCGAAACATCAGGTTGGGCCAGTCCATCATGTCACGTTTGAGGCAGGCACACGCACCGTCACTTCAGGGTTGCCAGTCAGAGACGAGCAGGACACATCGCTCAGTCAGACTCCACACCACGTCATGGACAACGTTCAGTGCCAACCTGCAGATCAAGGTACGGTACAAGCATCCGCAGTGGGTAAAGCCGCCATACCAGTTGAGGAGGCTCTTGTTATCGAATTGTTCGCAGGATCGGCAAACCTCAGCAAGGCGTTCAGGTCAATAGGCATGCAGGTAATTCCGGTCGACGCAAGGGATGCCCCGCAAATTAAAATCGTCAAGCTGAATTTACTGCACAAAGGCTCTCTAGATCTTGTTTTCAGGCCGTTGGACACCAGGAACGTCATCATGGTCCACATGGCGCCTCCACGCAGCACAAGCAGTCAGGCACGCCGCATCCAAAGGCATCACAATGACCCCAAACCACTAAGGCACTAAGGTCCTGGACCATGCCCGACGGACTTCAGGGCTTGAGCTTTCTGGATAGGAATAGAGTCTCGCAGGCAAACAGGTTGTATCCCCATTTAGGGTTTTGTGGCAAACACTCAGGCCTAGCATACACTTCGCAACTTTCCACAACTGCGTCTATGGAGGGGATCGCAAAAAGAGCGCAACCATATGGACATCATGTGCAGCTCTGCAGGGATTGGCTTGTGTGTGCAATAAGGAGTTTGCACATGTGCATAAGGAATGGGGCAGACAGCCTGACGGCTCCTGGGCCACCTCCCAAGAAGCTGCATACCCTCCGGGTATGTGCTCGCAGTTCGCATCCATAGTACTGCAGGCAGCCAAGTTGCAGCACAGCCAGGCTTTACAGCTGGGACAGGGCAAAGCTCGTCTGACTAAGGCCCAAGCAGGAGCTGAGAGGGCCTCACAGGGGCTCTTTCCCCGAGGTCATCAGGCTCCACCTTTGGTTGATCCTTTTCCACATAAGGTTTGGCGTCAGGTTCCTGATAATGTGGACAGATCAGTGTTTGTGCCTGGTAAGCGGTGGCAGAGCCCGATTTTCCCTAAAGGATCCACGACATTGGCAGTCAGGCAAAAGGAGGGCGCCTGGTGGGCCCAGATTGGCATTCCTGTTAGTCCAGAGGAGTTCTTGGATCTTTCCTCACCCAGAGAGCCAAAACCCAATCCTACCGGAGTTTCTTCAACATGCAGTTCACAGGTACTGTTCACTTTCAGTGTCAGGCCTCAATGAACTCCGAGTGCGAGTCCTCAAGTCCCTCCTGCAAAGAGCTCACAGGAGTTGAGATCGCAAGAGCAGGAACTACACTCCGGTTTGGAGCCGCACGCCAGGGATGTTCTCAAGGGCAAAAGGCTTCTTCTTTTTCAGGAAATGCTCAAGAGCATGAACTTTGGAGATTCAAAGCTTGTGCCGGACATCATGCAAGGCTTCAGGATCACAGGGTGGCTCTCAGACACCAGCCTTAGGCCCACTAAGGTAGTCATACCTACTGTGACAGCGCAGGACCTTTGGTCAGCCAGGTTGGAGAACAACAACAGAATGTGGAACCTCTGCCGATCATCGGGCAACCATGAGCTTGATGAAGCCTTGTGGCTCCAGACACTCAAAGAGTGCAAAGCGGGATGGGCTACTTTGCATGTAGGCCTGCACAAGCCACCAAGCAACGCCTTGCTCTCCCGCAGGTTTGCAGTTCAACAACAGGCTAAAGTGCGTCCAATAGACGAGTTCTCTGTGTCTCAGGTGAACAACACACTGGGTAGCGTAGAGAAGATTGTCGTGATGCCGTCTTCTGCAACAGTGTCTCTGTCTCTTGCCTTGCAAAGAGGTCTTACGGCATCGAATCGAGGCTCATATGCGGATGCTCCAGTCGAGCTCTCTGGAAAGACGTTCGATCTTCAGAGCGCTTACAAGCAGCTCCCCATCCACAAGGATCACCCTCAGGTTTGCGCAGGCAACAGTGTGGAATGCTGAAACGCAACGGCCCTCAGTGCTCTCTCTCAAAGCCTTGCCGTTTGGGGCCACAGGTAGTGTTCAGGGGTTCTGCAGGTGTAGCTTGGCTTTGTGGTGCCTTGTGTTGCACTTCATACTAGTACCTTCCACGGTCTTCTTTGATGACTACACGTCCATAGTCTCCCGGCAGGACACGGCAAGTGCGGAGGCAGCCTTCGTCCTTTTGATGAGAATCTTGGGTTGGAAAGTCTCGGTGGACAAAGCCAAGCCCTTCTCCTGTTTGTTCCACAGCCTCGGCATAGCCTTCTTGCTTCCTAGGTCGCCAACTGACCCAGTACAGGTGACCAACACCGATCAGCGTCGCAAGGAGGTTGCGGCAACATGTCTGGAGCTTTTGCGAACAGGAAAGGTCAGCCCTCACCAATGCTCTGTCTTCGCAGGCAGACTCAGGTGGCTGGAAGGCCAAACCTTTAGCCGCTTGGGTAGAAGGTTCTTTAGGGTCATTCTGCAAGCTGGGGAAACACCCAGTGACTTCAGGAAAAGGCCTATGACAGGACCAGTTAGGCAAGCCGTAGAGTGGGTTCTGCACAATGTACCCAAGGCGCCGCCAAAATGCTTCCACCAGTTGTTCACAGACGGCTCTTTTGAGGGAGGCCGTGGTTGCATGGCAGGAGTCTTGCGTAGAGGCGACGGCACCCCTTGGCAGTAGTGGAGCCTGCAAGTCCCCTTAGGCATAGTAGCCAGATGGTCTCAGGATGGGGTAGAGCACCCCATCATGCAGTGTGAGCTGTTAGCCGCAGCAGTTTCCCTAGCTGTGTGGGGACCCACGGTGGCATCATCATGCATCACACTGTGGGTGGACAATGACGCAGCCAGGCATGCACTCATTGCCGCGCATGCCTTCCCAGACAGTAACAGGTTGATAGTAGAGTCCTGCCTGCGTTGTGAAACAGACCACTCTCTCAGATTGTGGGTAGCTCGAGTGCCCAGCATATCCAACCCTGCTGATGCGCCAAGCAGGGGAGAGGTGCCCAAGTTCCTGCAAGCAGCCTCAGAACTTGAAATTGATGTGGGGATTGTCTGGAGGCTTTCTGAAGGACTTCCAACAGACTCAAGCAAGTAGGGGACTTCTGCCAGCAAGCGCTGTGCAGTTTTGTTTCAGGTCCTCCCTGCAGGCAGTTGACCGTAGGAAAGCAGGATTGCAGGAAGGGGCAGCTTTAGCCCAGACTCCGGCAATCAGGCCGCACATGTGTGCACAGGAGCTTCCAGGGCTGACAAATCCCCACGTGTCAAAAAGGACTGTCCGCTTTGCATAAACCGTAAAGACTGCATACTTTAATGTTAGCTTGCGTCAACAACACTTAAAGCACTGTAACTGTGCCATTTTGGGTCAAGGTCCTGAAATTTTTGGCCCACCCTTCCCACCCTAATGAGGAAAGTAGAGGACCCTCTTTGGGACCTTGGCATAGGTTTTGGCCAGGTTCCCGACAGAGGAAGCCACCTTCAACTACCGTGGGAACATGGCACCTTCAGCTTCCTCTCGGACTCAGCGGGATCAGAAGACCCAACTCAGGACCTGCTTAGGCGACCGGAGCCGTGCCCTCAGCCCGAAGTGGTGGAGGACGCCAGACCGCTCAAAGCGCCAAGATTGCACACTCCCAAGTTGAGGGCGGTAGCAGACTTCAGGCCTACAGACGCCCAGGCAGAGAGACAAGCAGCTCTCACGAAGTGGGATCAGGTAGTCAGGTTGCTACCTAGGCTGTTTGATCCTACGGTGCTCAGCCAGCTTCACAACGAAGACTTTGCTGTTGAGTTGGGGAACTTGGACTTGATCTTTAGCAAGAAGTCGACGAGCACTCTCATGTCCAGGGCCAGCTCCATGCTCAGGTTCTGCAGCTGGATACTCAGGACTTTTCCAGAAGAAGTAGTCTCAGAGCCGATCCTGTTTTTGTACTGTCAGAAGCTTCGCAAAGAAAAGAAGGACACATCAGGACCGGACCAGCTGCTTCAGGCTCTCAACTTTTGCTCAGGAACACTGGGGCTGTCTGTTCCAGTTGCAGATCTCAGGTCTGCCAGGGTGACGGGGTTGGCGCACCAGTGCCTCAGGGCACAAGAGTCCACCAAGCAGGCTCAACCTCTGACTAAGGACCAGGTGCAGTGGCTAGAGCACCTGGCCAGACAGGCAGACGATGCTTATGAGAAGTTGCTCGCCTCCTCTTTCCTTCTCATGGTCTACGCCAGGGCCAGGCACAGTGATGTGCGCAGGGCTGTGAAGATCCTGCTGGACGCAGGAGGCGACTTCATCCATGGGTTTGTAGAGCTGGTTGTTCAGGACCCCAAGCAGTCCAGGGCCAGCAGGAGGAGGCGTCTCATGCTGCCAGTCGTAGCCCCTATGATGGGCATCGCAGACAGGCCGTGGGCATCCGCTTGGCAGGCCAACAGGAAGCACTGGCGTTTGGCCCATGAAGGGGACATCAGTATTGAACCCTTGCTTCCAGAGTTGGCAGCAGACGGGAGTCTGTTGCCATGCAACATGAGCACAAGCTGGTTAAGAGCTTTCCTCGCCAGGAACGAACAGGTGAACGCCGACGCCTTGCTGGGCATCACGACTCATAGCTTGAAAGCAACTCTTTTGTCATGGGCAGCAAAGGCAGGAATGGATACTCTTGAGAGAACCATCTTAGGATATCATAGTACAGGGGTGAATAGTTCAACCCTCAGCTACAGTCGAGACGCCATGGCGGGGCCCCTCAGGAGCTTGCAGGGTCTGATCAGATCAGTGCGCATGGGCAAGTTCAGTCCAGATGACACGAGATCTGGGCGGCTGGCGCTATCAGGCTCTTCCTCAGGGTCCTCGCAGGCGCCCAGCGCTTCCTCGTCCAGCAGTGATGGCGAAGAGCGTGAGCAGGTGATCCAGGGTGCCAGCCACACTTTTGCAATGCTGGCCTCTTCTGGTCAGTATCACCTAGCCAAGAACCCAGGTTCAGGAATCACGCACATTGTGAAACAGGGGCGTGACAAGTTGTTGTGCGGCCGCACTCTTTTTAAGGCCTTAGTGGTCTGCAATGAGGTAAATTTCTCTCAGGTGCAGATATGCATGACGTGCCAGTCAGTTTGCGAAGGCCTTCTAGAAGGCAGATGGGCTAGCAAGCAGTGGACAGTAGTTTGAGCCAGGGGGGACTTCTGCCAGAAAGCGCTGTGCAGTTTTGTTTCAGGTCCTCCCTGCAGGCAGTTGACCGTAGGAATGCAGGATTGCAGGAAGGGGCAGCTTTAGCCCAGACTCCGGCAATCAGGCCGCACATGTGTGCACAGGAGCTTCCAGGACTGACAAATCCCCACGTGTCAAAAAGGACTGTCCGCTTTGCATAAACCGTAAAGACTGCATGCTTTAAATGCCGCCAGGTGCAGATCTGGGGAGTGCGGACCTTTCAGGCAGGGAGGTGCTTCTCTTGCAGCGGGGAGAGGGTTGTTTTGCC